TATTTCTCAAGAATATTTAGAACTGAGCAACATGTACTCTGGATGTTGCTGGATTGCAGTTCTTGTTGCCCAGGCACTATCCTGAATACACCACATTTTCAGCTCCCAGCTGTCCTTGCCAGCATAGCCAGTGATGAAAAGCGATGGATTGTTGAAAGTCCAACACTTTATGGAGGGTCACACATTCCCCGTGCTGATGCATAGAACATCTTGCTGTTCCAGTATACTTTATGTAAAGTGTTTAACCAGCTTTTGCAGTTTTGTCACTTGACATTTAAAAGAAATAAATTAGACATACTGTATGACAGTGACATGAAAGATTATCTGTACAACAGAATATATGGTTAATGGCCTAGTTGCAGAGGCTGGGCAGAAAAAATAATATAACTTTTAATGTAAGTTCCTAGTGAATCCACAAAAAATGACTTAGTTCCTCATGATTATAGTAAGCAGTCCTAGAAAATCAGACCCTTGGGGTTTTTTGTACATTCATCCATGAAACCTGAATGTTAATTTGAACTTGATCATCCCAAGATGGTGCAGTGAGCAGATGCACCTCTGTACTGCTCCAGCACAACTTTTATTATTTCGGTAAACTTGTGAAACTAAACAGAAGTTTATCTCCTGTCTTTCTGTTCTCCATCTGGAAAAAGCTTATCCAAAACCATGGAGAAGAGGAGAAGACCCAAACACCCCTCTAGCCAAGATAATACGCCGATTAAGACATCAAAACAGAGGCATCTGGAAGATTGTCCGGCGTGGTCAGACACAGTAGACTTAGAGGGTGAGTTTACCAGACCTGGCTCTCCAAGTTTCTAAATTAGAGATTTCTCAGACGATCAGCTGTTACCCTCCCAGTCTTCACAGGACAAACATCCGCTACAGAATGATAATGTTTTAGCAATTATTTTAGAACTCTGCTTGGAGAACACTGTTTAATGACAGGAAATGCTGTAGTATATATATGTCAACAGCTCAACTCTATTCTATCTCAGCTGGACAAGCTCAATAAGGCTATTTTACTTCTATATGTCCTGAACAAGATACAGGATCCTGCTCTAATTGCCTAGCAAGTACCAGAATGCAGACACCAGGGCGAGTGCAGAAAATCCCAGGGGGGATGAACCATTGCCTAATGAGAAATCAAGTGCTGATAGAGGTCTGGGGCACCCCTCTAAACAAGGGTAGATGGACAAACAAGCAACAGGTGCTTAATTCATTAGGTAGCTTGCTATACCTGGATAGCTACAAGACAGACCTACTAGAAATGACTCGACTTCCATGGTGCTCCCGGTTACCACACTGCTCTCAAGTAAGTGCTATTGAAGTTCAAAAGTGTTAGAATTCCCCATCTACTTTATGAAATAAAACATCTCATTGAATCTTACAACATATTTTTGCGAAGAGTGTTCAGCCTGTTAAACCACCGTTACCGAAGAACAAGCTGAAATGCCCTTATCGGCTCCCCTCTAAGTCCCAAGGTCGACGAGTCTTGGACAGCTGCCTAGCCTTCAGCTCAGAGATAAAGGCTTCCAGAGTGCAAGCAACAGAGCTGA